GTATTTATTTGGGGCTGTGGGGTTTAATTCTTACTAATCTGATTATTTATATTCGTGCTAAACTTTTGCAGGTTTGAAGAATATTACGATTACATATTCCCCGATGAAGTTGCTTCTCTTCCGAACACAAAAATATTGGAGGCAGCTTATAAATGGAAACGGGCAAAAGCAAATCCCAGTAATGATGATGACTGAGAAAACTCCTTCTGTACAGTGATATGTACCATAGTGAAAGGATTTTGGTTGCAACGTGTCCAAAGTTTTGGTTTGTGGAAATTCATCTTTAGAGAGAATTGTAACTATTTTGTTTTCTTCTTTGTACTAGGAGTGGAAAAGCTACATTAAAGATATACTCCATATTTATGAGTACCCTAACAAAACCCTTCAATTAAACCAAGTGTGCTCTCTCTCTCTATAGAAAGCGTCTGAAACTAACAAGTCGAAGTCTCTCTCTCTCTCTCTCTCTCTTTCTTTGGGAAAAAAGGTAAATTCATGCCATGTGAGACGAGTTATTTAACATTCTACCTCTATTTTTTTTTTAGTTTAAAAATCTTGACATATAAATATGACTTGGAATGGTTGCAAAAAAGATGAAATTTCTGTTATGGGTAATTTGATAAATTTCCCGCAAACAAATGTAGAACTATTGGATCATCCATGTTTATTTCTATGAAATAACCTCAATTATTCATTTGATATTTGGCATTGTGTTAGTTCAGCTCTTTTGGTTGTATTGATTGCAGAACTTTACTCTCTTTGGATCCCGAACTCCATTTAAGAAATCGCAGACCTCATATGCTCTTTTTTTCACTATTTCCTTACTAAACATTACTTGTTTAATTCGCAATGTCTTTTTTAGTTTAGATTTCTTTGTGGTGGTTCTCTTTTATGGTTCTTGCGCAATTTCCTTTGGTATGAGTAGGCAGTTTCACTGTCTCTAACTATCTATGATAGGCTTATCCCTGCATTTCATTCTGTCATCCTTATAGTCTCTGTGATTGGAACCTCTTTTGTACTGTTTATCATAAATAAATACTCGTTTGTTTGTGTGTTCCTCCCTGTTTCTTTGTCTGATATTTGATCCTCATTTCCTTCTTTTTTTTTTTGTATATATTACTAAGCCGTAGCTGTTTCTTTCCTGGCATTTGTGGATCTCTGAAAGCCGATTCTTTTAGCATCTTCCTTGTGTAAAAATCAAACCAGGCCATGGGATTATGTTTTTCGTCGTTTCTTTATCGCTTCCTAACTCTTATTCTTTTCCTCAATTTTTTTGTGCCACCTTTACATTTTCTTGCATTTCATTAGCTACTATGACTGCACGTTCTCAATTGCAAAAATAGGGTGCACCGCATGTAGATTGCTTCTATGGTTTTTTGGTTTGGAAGGAGGTTGATCATAACATATTGGAAAAAGTTTGTATAGAGCTGAGGCTCTAAACAATCAACTTAGAGCCCATCTCAAAAATTTCAGTAGAACAAGTTGTTTTGATGCCAAATATTCTCAAATTACATCTCGACATCAAGATTAATGAATAGAAGGAAAAAATGGATTTCAAGTTTTGGAAATAGTGCATCTCATAACGCATTTTTAGACCGTCAATTTTCAAGATTTTCAAGTTTTTCAAGTTTTCATAGATTAGGTCAATCTACCCTATTTTTTATGCTGTAAATTTTATAATTAAAGATGAACATATATATTTTAAGGCTATCACAAAGATTTCCAGAATTGAAACCACATTTCGCGACACTATTTGAAGGTGTACTTTGATTATTTAGAGCCTCGTCTTTGTACAAACCTTCATCCATTATTTATAGGACGTGGTTAGCATGTGGCCAGCCATATTGTAGAAATGTGGGCTTGGCAATAAATATTTTTTAACTATAATCTGATCTAAATTTTTAGAGAATATACAATAACCTTTAAGGTGGAGATCATGAATATGAAAAAAAAAAATATGAAAAATTAGAAATAATGATTATATTAAGAAAACATTTGGACCATTTGTTACAATTGTTTTTTGATGGACCCCCTATTTGCATCCATCTTTAACATGTCTTCTTGCTTTATTGTAATATTAATGTTGTTTTTGATCCTGTCATTTGGTTATATGTATTTAAAATGTTGGGTTCTCATGTTTAGGAAATGAGCCGCTGTATGTGAAGACTTGGAGTGGCATTCTTTTCATGTTACACTTTCTTGGTTCAAAGCCTCGTTTCTTAATATCAATTTTGTGATAGATGTATTTCTCCTATTGCAAAGATTTATATTTCATTTATCATAGACCATCTGTGCTCTTGCTTGCTTTTTGTCCTTGCTTCTTAGATTTGGTGGGATTGATGTCATCCTTGTAATATAAATATAATTGATGATATTTTTTTTGAATGGATTGTGATAATATTCAGCCTGGTTACCAAGCATTGAAATTTTTGAAGTGATTGTGATAGGCCTGGTTACAAAACATAGAAATTTCCTATCTATTTATAGCAATGGATAACTATTTTTGTTTTTTTAAGGAATTGGGCTACAAATACCCCAAGTTTATTCTGGAGGTAAAAATACCACTCTCTATTAGTTGCTTTAAAACTAGGATCTCTTCCTTGATTCCTCAGGCCTGACCAGCAGGAATTTTATTGAATATCCAATTTACATTCATTTTAGGAAAGTTGACAAGATGTTAATGTCTTAGAGTTGGATTCATTACGGGGTTCTTTGCTAAAATACCTTTCATCCGCAAGGCTTGTATGCTATTTTTCAGAGACAATGATGCAATCTGAAACAAGATGCCAATTGGTTCAGAATTTAAGATGATCAGATGCCAAGAATCTTTTCTTTCTTGTTCTTTTTGATAGTTAACTTTATATTAATGGTGCAAAATTTTATCCGACCCCAAATAGTTGGGAAAAGGCTTTGATGATAATGATGGTTTGAAATTTTACAGTCATGGCTTCAGAGCAGGTTTTACCAAGGTGTGTAAAGGGCTAGAAAATTGTAAATACAAAATCTATAAACTGTGTGCATATTACTGTACAAAAAAATGTCATCAATAAGAGGGTTTGGTGTAGATTGGGTGATGAGTAGGTCTGGTCCGGATGCACCCTCCATTGCTAGGGCAATGACCAAGGACTTTGATTCTCTATCTGTTGCCATAACTAGACCCCTATATTTACGCATATGTCAGGAATCTGGTCAGAAAGTTGTCTGAGCCTCCAATGGGATATCATATTCTCTGAATTGCCTTCTATTAACACGTTTGAATTCCAGTTTATGTTGAAGACTTGCAGTTCTGTCAGCAGAGCTTTAGTTTTTGCTAAAGCAGAGTTGTCAAACCTCTCTAAGTTGATTGTAAAAGGTAGTACAACCCCTGCTGGTCCTGGGTTGCCTTTAGAGCTTCCATCAAAGTTATGTTTTGTGGCACCTTGTCCATTTGGAGCATATGATGTATTTCTGCCGTATAACAATTTCTAGAGCGCTTGGAAGCAATCACCCATGAGATAATCATGGGCTTGATGCGGTCCACCATGGTGTTGATTTTTAAGTAAGAGAGACTGGAAAGTTCCTCAATTCCACTCAAGCCATATTGAATGATCAGAACAATGTAGGCCCACAGTTGGGAAAGGAAGGAACAATAAGCTTCTCAGTGGGTTATCTATGGACCTAGGAATTATATTGCCATCCGAAGTGTTCTGGGAACTAAGACCATAATTTTTAGGTAAAATGATTGCTGCAGTAAGTGGTCAACTATTACCTCATTTTGTTTACACAAAAGGCACCAGCTTGTCAGCTATATACCTGTATTATATAAATGATTGAGGGTGAGGATTTTGTTGGTAACAGCCAGCCAATTGAAAGCCTGCACCATGGGGGGCGGAGGGGTGGACCACACTCTGCGAGCCATGACTTGATCATTAGCCACTGTTTAAGGCTGGTTTTAATCCCGAAGAGCACTATTGAGGGAGGCAACAGAGAACTTGCCTGATGAATTGAGGGCCCAGGCTATCTTGTCATTGGCTTGGAGGGGAATGAAATGGGTGTTATAACTTCTCTAATAGTGCTAAGTGGTCCCGAACTTCTTCGGTCGTTAGGCTGTCAATCAGAGTTTATGGTGCCATATTTATGGCTAATGACTGAGCTTATGTTGATATTGGTATATATAGCAAAGCGCCACAACCACTTGGTCAAATATACATGGTTGCACGTTTTCTAAAACTCAATGTGTCCAACTTGGATTGGGCGAGTTTACTTGCTGGGAGCCCTACTTCCCATCGGACTGACTGTGCCACAGTGCAGTGTTGTGCAGTTTTTTCCTCTCAGACTTGGGTGAGTCCCCAAGTCTGGATGAGTCCGGTGGGACTCGGACTTCCGCAATCTGTGCAAATAAACTAGAAAACTAGAAATATCAGTGGGTCCCTTTCTTCCATTTTTCTTTCAGGCCAAATTCTCATAGGCCTTAAACTTGGTGGTCGGGCAGATTTTTGTATCCTCTATCTGATCCAAACCTTGGGTTAGACAAAGAAATCCAGGAAATCTTTCAAATCCGAGTTTTGCAATTCCGTTTTAAGGTTTGGGTGAAGTAAATCTGAAGTCCAATCTTAAATATAGTTATTTAGGATTCCAATTTGGGGCATTTTACAGAGATTTGAACCGTGCAGATCTTTGTAAGGACAGCCTTTGAAACTTTGGGTTAGCAAAATTTGGTTTTGTTTCTCCATCTTGAAGTCGTATAAACGAATTTATTTTGCACAAATATCACTAGGTCTTGTTATATTTTCTTTTATCTTGTATGGTTGTTGCATCATTTCAAAATTAATAATTTTTTATTTTAATATGTACAGATATTTTTTTGATAACTGTTAACATTAATATGTAGAGATCTTTTTAGACATGCATTTGTGTGAGATCCCTTATTTTTTTTATAACTTGATGATGCTAACAAGATATTTTTGGTTGGTCTATAGGAATTTTCTAATTTTTCCTGTTTTCTTTACTTTTTTCCATTTTCAATTTCTGGGGTTTTCTCATTTTATGTAACGGAGAAGATCCGCTGAGTTGACTGGTTTAAGACATTCTGTTGCACACTTTAAGTTTCTCTATGTTGAGTTTGTCTCTAAGCTGGATTGGCATACCTTCTCCCACTTTATCAAGTGTAACTTTCGTGTGGTTGCGCATGCATTCCACGGAAAGTCCTGTATTAATTGTTCTAGTTTTATGACTATGGACATTGGCATGTGAGAGGGACCTCTGGTAGATCAAAATGCTTGAGACGGTAGCTTTATGAGATTGATGCTTCCCTGCCAAGGATACAATTTGGCATTTCCAAGAAGCCAATGTTCATACAAATTTGTCAACTATATTCTTTCATTTGGCTTTCTTGCGTTTGCTTGAGCACAGAGATA